TTCTTACTTCCAGCCTACAAAGCTAAAGCAGAAGCATAGCACAAAGCATGGGTAACTGATCTTAAGGTTTTAGTCTACAGGCTTTTCATGCTGGGAATAGATCCCATCTGCCTCCTGCTTTGTGCTCTAAATCTTGCACAAAGCATAACCGGAGAACAATCCTGTACAGCCCAGTATATGAAGTATTCCTAGCTACTGTAGCCAGCAATTCAAATACCCCTAAGGCTTGGAATAGCTCATCCTGAAGACTTCTGCTCACGATGCTTTCAAGCTGACAAATATATTGCTTCTTTCTCCACATCCCCTATCCCGTTACCTACTAACAATCAGCTGCTAAAATACTCATTCCTATTCTATGAGAGGCATGAGGCATCTTCCCTCCACAACACAGCCAAAATTTATGTTTTACCCTTATCTACCCATCCTTTAAGAATGGAAGCAGCAGGAGAGCTAGAAGTGAGGAAAACATCCAGGGCACTCTCACTGTAGGACCCAATCCCACTCCAAGATCTTCCTTCCCAAATTTCTCACCCTCAGGATGACTCATCAAATCAACCACCCACCCACATAAGGCCCCCTACATCTTCTGTTGCATAACCCTTTCCAGCAGTCAAGCCACCTGATCATAAACCTTCCTGCAGCAAAGCATTCCTTCACATTCTATCAGTCCCACTATTTAGCTTCTTCATACCTCACACAAATCTAAGAGAGGTTTGAAGGAGATTTGTATTTGGAAATGGCATGCTGAAAGGGGCTAAACCTATTTTGTCTCACAGCATTTGGAGCACCCTGACCTGTTTAAAAGTTAAAGGAAGGAAGTTAAGAGATCCAATCACACAACTGTTTGGCCCTTAATGTCACCCCGTTTTGCTTAACTCTCTTGCCTATCCTCCTGTAGCCCTTCTGCTAACAGTCAGCTTGAGACCCAAGCCAATCATTCTCTCAATTCTCTTAGAAGCCTCCACTTCAATGTTTGCTGCCATCAGCCTTTCATTTACAATGCACACCATGCCCTCTCCTACCTCGCTCCCTGAAATATAACCTTCCTCCCCAGTTTCTGATGCCAACTCCCCCCTTTATATTTTTAAACAAGCCTCCTTGAGTTTCCCAACAATTGTCCTTCCCACTTCAACTCAAAGCTCACCTGTGATCAGCTCAAAACCTACAAGCCAAACCCAGGAACCTCTTTTCATTGCCAATGCATGGCCAAAGAATAGGTGACATAGTAAAAAACAAAGCACCTTTGAACTTAGTGAGAATACCCTTTCTTAGTCACAATTAATTAACTTTTGTTTATGTTTCTCTAAGAATCCATTTACAGTATTAGTGATTTAACAAAATAAAAATAGGCAACAGAATAGTCTGAAATAAAGCAGGTGGAAGAGTAAGGACAGCCTCCCCCCCCCCCATACACACATGACACACTTCCAGGCAAGCTTGAACTGCAAATGTCCATGTGCAATAAGAAGAATGACTGATCTTGTATGTGGTGGGTTAGAGAAAGATGTGTTCACTCAGCACATGCACAGCGGCACTCTCTTTTTTTGACAGTCATTTGCATATTCACAAACTGAGGTGGTATCTTCCAGTGAGGGGATGGGGACAAAATTATTATGGGCCTGAGGCCCAATTTAAATTAAACTTGTAGGGTCTCTGAGCTACATTCCGTAGTTTCTGAAATAAGAAGCTGAGGACCAAACCTGCCTGCAATTTTATCTCTGACATAGAACCCTTGTCCTTTAATCTCAGAGGCATATTAAGAGGATGGGAACAACACTCTACACATGCTTACAGGCAGTATCTCCTAAATCCCACAGCTAAGTAGAGACAATGCTGCCCCTCAAAAACAAAATTCCAGTGGAGTGAACATGGATGAAGGGGAAGTAAAAAAGATTTCAAGGTTCAGCCCAGCAAGAACCCGAAGCCCTTGATTTCTAAGAGAAATGGTTCCGAGGACTCATGACAGCCTGAAATGCACTCAAGCAAAAGTTTTGTTCTCCAGCCCTAGAGCAGCCTTCCTCAACCAGGGGCACCAGGTTGGGAAAGACTGTTCTAGGAGGGGGAAATGGAGGGGAGAGAAATGACACTCTGCACACACTCTTTTTCATCAGACATATGCCATGGCTGCTCTGGCACCTCTCAGAAACAAAATATTGCAATTGGTTTCTAGCTCAAATTAGCTCAGCAGGACCCCCAGAATTCAGCCCCTAGTTTCTAAAATGAGCATTTGTCAGATCTCAAAGTCACCCTCTTTGACACAAAAGTCTTGTTCTCTAATCCCAGAGACAGAAAGGGACGTGGGAGGAGGAGGAGAAAGTAGAGTAGGCTGAGGGAAATGACACATTCTGCACATATTTGGGGGCACACACACTCTCCTTTTTATAAAACAAGATCCTGGAGTTGGAAAAAAGATTCAGCATTCCTGGGGCATCTTTTTCCTTATCTGCATATTCCTGGCATTAGCTGGAAAAGGGGTCAATGGATAAAGGAAAGAACATTCTGGATAGCAGGAGGGCAACCAATATACTTCTGGTCAGTGGTTAGGGACCCCTTCCCCTAATCTGCAATCCAGAGCTGAGGTGGTAAGAGGGTGGCATCTCTTCCAAAGAGAAGATCCTGGGGCTCTCTGCACATGCTCAAGAGCACTCCTCCTTGTCGTCAACCTGAATATTCCATAGCTGAGCATGGGGCTTGGTGTACCTTCCAAGGAAGTGCCCCTGGGGTTCTTAATACATGCTCAAAAGTACTGTTTCCCTCGTAAGTCCACCTACTTCACAGCTGAACTGGGAAAGAATAATGTATCTTCCAAGAAGATAGTTCTAGGACTAGAGGGTAGGAACATTTTATGATTCACTCACCCAGTCTGTGGTTGACCTGTGTCACTTAATCCAGGGTTGACCTTTTATTGTGTGTTGGATAACATTTGATCTTTCATTGTCTTATGGTGGCTATGTGTTCTTAAAACATAAACACACTCTGAAAATCATAGTAAATGAGGTACGGGGAATAATAATGCCATTGTTATTTTATTATGTAAGCTCTCATTTCTATCTTGCAAAATCAACACTCAGTAAATAAATCAACTGATTTGCACTGTGGTTTTTTTTTGTACTCGGCAATAATAAGCAATATATAATATAGTATAATGATAAGAAAGTGTGGATGACAAACAGTAACCATGACAATAGCAATACTTTCTCTTATGATTATGCATGTCTTTGCTTGCAATGCATTCCATACAACTGTAATAAAGTAGTGGGGTGACAGCTTTGATAAACATCACCACCACCATAGCTATCAACACTTATTATTTTATTTATGCTAGTTTTAGCATAGGACAAAATGTACACAACCACCCTAGAATAAATTATGATAATTATTATCAATAAGGGTAATATTTTCCCCAGGATATCTTTTATAGGATTGTAATCATTATTTATTTGTTTATTATTCATTCATTTTTATTAAAACAAAAACAAAACCATTAGCCCCCTTCTCACAAACACATTTGAAAGGACATAGAATGTTAATCAGTGAAAAGTGTAGTTAAAGAAAACCGTTTTCACCTAGTGCCCAAATATATGTAATCAAGGTGCCAGGCAAGACTTCCTGGAGAAGGCATTCCACAAACAGGGAGCCACTACAGAAAAGGCCCTTTCTCATATTCATAGAATTATAGAACTGTAGAGTTGGAAGGGACCCAAGGGCCATCTAGACCAACTCTCTGCAATGCAGGAATCTCAATTAAAGCATCCATGACAGATGGTCATCCAACCTCTGCTTTAAAATCTCCAATGAAGGAGATTCCACCACCTCCAGAGGGAAACTCTTTCACTGTCAGACCTCTCATGGAGGAAGCGCATGAAGAAGGGCCTCAGGTGATGATCACAGGATCTGGCTCTGTTCATATGGAGTTTATATACACAATAAGAGTAGTAACAACAATTTCTCCAAGATTGGTTATATTTTCATGTTAGTTTTTTTTGTAATGGATATGGTAATATTTTTTCCTAGGATGGCTATGTTTTATAAGGGTTTTTGTTTGTTTTTTTGCAATGGGTCCCAACCTAAAACTATAATAACTAACACCTGAGTGGCAACATTGATAATGCTAACAATTATGGTAGTGGTAATAATGATAATAAGTTCAGGGGCTTTAATAATTCCATTTAGTTACAGTTTATTATGCCAAGACACCTTGCCTGGCAATAAACACTATAGGATTTATTTTATCTGTTTAACCCATTTGTTCAAATTACATTATTCTGAACTCAGTGTCTGATTTCTTTTTTGGTGGGGGGGGGGGAAGAGAAAATTGTACATAACCATCACAGGTAAAATTGTTGCTATACTTATTACAACACACACACACACACACACTATCCTAGGAATTGTTAATATTAATAGCAATTATGACCAATGATTATGATATTAATTATAGGATGGTTACTTTTTTGGGAGTGGTAATAGATGGACTAACAACAATTTCCCCAAGAATAGTTATGCTTTTTTGGGGAGTGGGGGTATAATATGTACAGCGACAGCAATTTCTTCCAGGATGGTTATGTTTCTTGGGCAACTGGTAAAAACTACAGGAACAATTTCCCCTTAGGAAGGTTCTGCTTCTCTTTCGGGGTTGGCGTTTATAGGTACAGTAACAACAGTTTCCCCTAGAATGGTTATGCTTTTCAGGGGGCAAGGAGTGCTAATAGGTATAGAAACATCTATTTCTGTTAGAATTTCTGCTATTTCTACATCTATTTCTGCTGGAATCTGTTATGCTTTTTTGGGGGGGTGGGGTGTTGAGGAGGTTATAGGTCCAGCAGCAGCAGTTTCTCCTATGAAGGTTATGCATTTGGGGGGGTTGTGAATAGGTATGGAAACATCTCTTTCTCCTAGCAGGGCTCTGCTTTTCGGAGGTTGCAGGGGGGCGATATGCAGCTTGTTCTGCTGGGGGGCTGACCTCTCTCCCCCCCCCCCCACCTTCCCTTCCTACTCACTACTTGTAGAGCTGCTGCAGGCAGAGGTCCAGGCACTCGCCCTCCACCTCCTCCTCGGTGATGTGCTCCGAGAGCGGCCGGGGCAGCGAGGGCAGCGGCGGGCTGGCCGGCCGGGCGGGAGGCTGCGGCTGCGAAGCGGGCACTGCCGCCGGGGCCGCAGCCGGGGGCAGCTCCTCCTCGGGCTGCGCTTCCCCGACGCGGCTGTCTCCGTCGCCGCCGGCTCCCTCCTCCTCCTCGTCGTCGCCGGCGGCAGCAGCAGCAGCATCGTCGCCTTCGTCCAGCGCCTCGTCGTCGGCTTCTTCTTCGCCTCCTCCCTCTTCCTCAGGCGGCGGCGGCGGCGGCTCGCCGTCCCCTCCTCCTTCGCCCCCTTCTTCTTCGTCTCCCCTCACGGCTTCGACCTCGACGGCTTCCTCAGCTTCCCGCCCCGCGCCGCCTTCTGCCCCGCCGCCGGACGGGGGCGACGGCTCGGCGCCGAAGGGTCCGCGGAACTCGCCCAGGAAAAGCTCCAGGAAGCGGCGGTAGGTCCGCTCCTCAAGGCTCCACGCGCCGCCCGCGGCCATCGCCTCGCATGCCCGGCGGCAGCGGCGGAGGAACAGAAGCGAAAGAGGAGGAGGAGCAGGGGAAAAAGAGCGGCGGCGGCGACAGCTTCCCTCAACACCGGCCTGCCCGCCCCTTCTCGCCTCCCTCGCTCGCTCGCGCGCAGGCTCGCTCCTTTCGCTGTCTCTCGCGCTCCCCTCAGTCCGTTAGAGCTCGCGCGCTCCCGCCTTCCCTCGCGCTTCCCCTCCCACCTCGTGGGCGCGCTCACGGACACACAAGGCAGAAGGAAGCGCGCGCGGAGGAAAGAATAATAATAATAATTTTTTTTGGCGGGGTTTACCAAGGCGCGCCGCCGCCGCCGCCGTTATTAGCCGTTCGCCTCTTGAGGGTTTTTTTTTTTTAAATGCCGGCGCGTGTATGGCTGTGTGTGCGCGCGCGCGCACGCGCGAAGGGCGCCCTGAGGGAGACTCGAGCAACTTTCTTTTCGACGCCTGAAACCCACCATATCCCAGCAGGCTGAAGGCAAGGCAAGCCACGGTTGGGTTTTGAAATATTTGTGTGTGTGTATATATATATATATATTTCGCAAGATTTATACGCCGCTTGATTGTAATGAAGCCTCGAAGAAGAAAAGGAAAATAAAATTATCAGTTACGTGCCTTTGTCAGGAAAAGCCGCCAATTAATCCGTTGAAAGCAGCTATTTAGAACATTCAGAAAAAATAATGATGATTAAAATCAAGGATAAGCAAAAGAGCAGATGAAAACCCATGCATGTCTGGATAGGCTTGCCTGAAGAAAAATGTTTTTAGCGAGTGCCAAAAAGAGGACAGCAAAGGCACCTGCTTTGCTCTTTAATATTTTTCTCTTATTTTAATCTTGCAAGATTTATATACTGTTTGTCATAAAATCAAGCAGTTTGCAAGGAATGTTGAATTTACTGTATAAAAAAAGTTAAAAACAAATGCTTGAAATGTCTTAAAAGATTATTATGTAGCCTTATTGGGGCCACAGGGTCACCTGTCCTCACCTCCTTCAATTATAATTAAGAGTGAGAGGACAGAATAATTGCCACACACACGAAGAACAAGGATATAGTTGTGAGTTCCTCACTTGTATTTTTATAAATCATTTAATGTGTCAACGCGAATAGAAGTTATTAATATTGCAGTTGTTGTATAAGAGATTATTATCATGACCGGAATGTAATTGAAACATATAAGATTTTGCAACACAGAAATAAAGAAAACCATCAAATCTAGCACGCAGGGGGCCACTTTAACTAAATTATATAATTCAGTATTTGAATGATTGGTATTATTAATTGTATTATAAATTAGTATTGCTACAATGAGGCTATTATTGGACTGTAATTGAAAACTAATAAAATTTTATTACAAAAAATAATTAAGAGTGAAAGATTAAAACATGGCAATATCTTGATAAACATGGCAATGATTACATATTGTTTGTATATCTATTATACTAAACTTTAAAAACTCACAATGTTTATTAAAAGGCTTTTCTAGACCACTTTTTAAGGGTGTGGGTGTGTGATGGTGTATTTATCATTAAACAGGGTAAGCAAAAAAAAATTCATTAAATAAATTATTCCCATGATAAATGAATACCAGACAGTTGTGGCTCTGACTACCACCTTCAACCTGTTGAGGTGTTTATGTTTCTTGGGCGGTTTTTTCCAAAGGAAATGTATTTGCTTTGCATGCAGAATGTCCCAGGTTCAATCCCCAGCATCTCTAGGCAGGTCTGCAGATGTCTCCTGCCTGAAACCCTGGAGAAAGTCTTGAAATACAAATTTCAAGATTAAAACAGGTGGCTAACCTGTGGCCTTCCAGTTGATACTGGACTATTAATCCCTTTATTCTTGCCTGTTAGCCATGTTGGCTGGGCCTGATGAGAGCTGGAGAGTTTGGAGCATCCATTCCCCATCCCTGATTAAAAATAACAATGGGTTGTAGCTGACTAATCTCCCCGTAAAAGCCACATATTCCATGGCAATAAATGCCATTTTCTGTAGCTGCAAGCACAAGCCACATTATGCCTTTTATTTACATTACCTTCCACTCCCAAAATGTGGGTGTTCTACTTCCAACCAAATTGTAAGTTGTTTTAGCAACATATTCAGGTTCTTGGTTTTCATCCTGTTTTTCTCTCTTCTGGTGTTGTTTCCAAACAAGCTATATAATGGTGTAGAGCTTCGCCAAAACAATTACGCTAATGCCATTAGATGAAATATTGCATCTTCCCGCAAGCTAGCTCATTCCTTTTCCTTGCCTTTCCATTTCATGACAAATAGCAAAGGGAAAGGAGAAAAAACCCAAACCCAACTGCATTTTATCTCTACTTTTCCTGCCACTGAACAACTCCCCAGAGACACAATCCAGAGTCCACATTAAGAGTTTATGAAAATATATCAGAGTCAAACCCTCATTCTTTTTCAGTAGTTCCCTTTTTTCCTTTTCATTGAGTTGAAAGTGCAAGAGTAGAACAAAGCAAGGAGTTTTGGGGAATAATTAAAAAAAATATATCTTGGAGGGAAACCAGTAAGAATGGAAGAGGAACAGAGTGTTTAGAAATACAGATTTCCCTGCCCAATTTTAAGCCCCCAGAGCAGAGATGGGGAAACTGTGGTCCTTCAGATGTTACTGGACTCATCAGTGCCTGCCAGCCAGGCTATTGATAAGGGATTATGGGAGTTGGAGTCCAACAACATCTGGAGGGCCACAGGTTCCCCAGTCCTGTTTGGAGGGACCCACCAGGCTGGATGGGGTAATGGAGAAGATGGGGGTTAGCCAAGAACAATTGGTTATCCCAGGACTTTCCTGAAGAAAGCCGTAAGGAACAATAGACTATATTGTGCTGCCTTTGTTCTCTTTCTCTTAATTGTTCCAGTCCAGACTCCTCTCTGAATAGAATATGAACATAAGAATAACCTGCTGGACCAAGCCATCTGGTCCAGCATCCCACCAGATGCCCAAGTGGGGAAACCATGAGCCGGACCCAAGCACAAGAGCACCCTCTCTTCCTGTAGCTTCCAGCAGCTGGTATTCATGACTGCCTCCATTTGTGGAGGCAGAGCATAGCCACGGATAGGCTTATCCTTCAGGAATTTGCCCAATCTTCTTTTAAAGCCATCCAAGCTAGTGGCCATCGCTGTCTCATGAGAGAACATCCCATAGTTTTAAGTGTGTGCTGTGTGAAGTAGTATTTCCTTTTATCAGTCCCAAATCTTCCAACATTCAGCTTCAGTGGATGTCCATGAGTTCTATTATGAAAAAAAACACACATCTTTTCTCCATGCCATGCATGATTTTATAAACTTCTGTCATGTCACCTCTTGCTCGCATGAGTCAGAAGTGTATATATTTCCAGGAGTCTCTACATGAATGTTTTTTGCCTAGCTGGTACCTGTGATATGTCCACCCTCCAGATGCTGCTGGATCCCACCTTCTATGATCCCCGAGCATTGGCCACACCAGCTAAGGGTAATAAAAACCCAACAACATCTGCACAGACACAGGATCCTCCAGCTGTGTTCAGCACTAGCACAATGTTAAGAAACAATGACCACACCCCCAGCCTTCTAGAAATAACGATCATACCCATCATACTTAAAAGATGCAATTTATATAGAGTATTTTCTGTGTTTAAAGCACTTCACATACATTAGCAATCTGTACAACATCCCTGTGAAGTAGGTCAGAGTCATTATCCTCATATTGTGGAAGGGGCATGAGAAAAGTAGGGCTAACACCTTGCTAAAACCATCTATTGAGTTCATGGCTGAGATGACGTTCAAATAGTGACTGGCTCATGATCTTGGAGACTACATTTGATAAAACTGTACAACGTACAGCCTCAAATATATAGATGTATTGATCCCAAAGTGCTCTCTTTAAAGTTTTATTGTACTTCTATTTAAAGCTGCCAGTCTTCATGAAGGAAGATACAAAAATTATGGGGGTATAGACAATTTAGTAAAGTAAAAGGACGTCATGTTTACCATACTGGAGCTAGGATATCCTGACCTCTACCCTCACCTTGTGATTTTTAAACAGTTCTTGTTAGCTGTCCCAGACTTAGCTATTAAACAGGGATGGACTTGTCAGACTTCCCAATGTCAAAGCAGCTTCTTGATAGATTAATGGCACGCCAGGCATGAAGCTAAACATATGCAGCTCACACAGAGAAACAGCCGTTGGAGCTTGAAGGAATTATCACCCTGGTTAAGGACAATAGGTAAGACGATTTATACCATTTATGGAGACTTGTAAAATGTTTTACATCTCAGTTCATGATAAGCTCCACAGGACACCCAATAACCCCACAAGATGCACAAAAGCAATAATTGCTTTCCCCACCCCCAAATCCAAGACAATTGGAATCACCCAAATGAAATGCGGAAATACAACACGTCCGCAGGCTGCAGCCTCCCTCCCTTGCTCTCCCCCTCTCTATTTCATGGCAAATTACATATAAATGAAACAAATTTAGCCGTGGACACCGTCCAGTGTACTCCCATATGCCAGCCATGGTGCCGTCCCTTTCTTTTGATCAAATTGTGATGCCCAGGAGCAGGACTTCTTGGCTACAGAGCTCTTGTCAATTGGTTGGGGGGGGGTTGTGTCTTGCATTTCAAGTCCAATGTTGTATATCTAGTATTTGGCAAAATCTCTTCTTTGAGAGGGAAGGTGCAAAAACCCTCTTGATTAACCTGCTGTGTGTAACATATGGTAACTGTGGCTGGTGTAGTTGAGTTAGACAACCGAGAAATCTGAATTTGATTCAGTCTGACATTGCGATGCTGCATGGAATTAGCAATTGGGATCACAGAGCATAACTAGGTGTTACCTGGGTCTATAATGGGGGTAAAGTTGACATACTGAGTGGCAAAGGAGTAGTAAGGTACATTCATGACATTTTACTCTAGAATTAATGGAGACTTGAGTACATGTCTTTTTCTATGTAGCCCACAAATGATCTGCAACCACTGCATTTTTTGCCTCCAAAATGCAACCCTCTGCACAGAGTTTCACCACCATTCAAGGTGCTCATATACCAGTATATGCATATTTCATTAATGCACTTGGAGATGTATGGGAATGTCTT